CAGCTCAGCATAAAACAGAGTAACAGATTTCACACAAAGGCACATTGATTTCATGAAGACGTGAGTTAAAGACCAGAACAGCAAATTTGTTGGTCAGCAAACCACAACAACAAAGTGAAAGAGGCTGAACTAGAGCTCAGAGCTGAAGGACAAAGTGGTCGTCATGCAGCAAAGAAAGAGTCTGTGTTCACATCAGTCTGTGTTTTCTTCTTATTTCTCGCATTCAATTAACAGAAACGTCCATAACGACTGATTAAATGAAGATTAACTCTGAGCCTCGGTCGGTTTGAAAAGCATTTTGTCTTTTTCTAAAATCACCAAAATAACACCATCTGTCAGGCGTAAAGTGTAAAATTAAACTTTTCCGTCAGTCTTTGAAGTAAATGTGTGTAACGTGTGGTTCTGCTGCGAAAATTCATCAAAACTAAGCAGTAAATGACAACATTTCATTAAAATCAACACCTTCCACATGTCACTATTAAATATTCGCCAAAAATGAACCGTTTGCACGAGACTGATTCTGTAAAAAATAAAAAAATGTTGCAGCTTTTAGTGCAGCTGATAAACTACGACTGACTTCAGAGAGTTCTCACGTGAACTGCATCGATGCAGAAAGACACAGCGAACAGAGGAGACGCATCCAGCTCAGTGAAACACGTTTCTACAGCTGATGAGGAGGACGTTTGGGGCGGCTGTCACTGTGTTGACAGTATTTACAGCAGTAGCAGTAACGCCTGCAGGCACTTGTGTGATTGTGGAACATGTTGATTTTAGGTTTTTTCCATTTTTGTACAAAAAATAGTCACGAAATTCTACTTTTTCTTTTGCTTTTCATGATAGCTGATGACTTTATGATGGTTTCATGCTGCACAGAGACGTTTTCTGGGCCATTTTGTCTCACTCTTGCTTTAATAGTTTAACATCTGCAGGACTGAGAAGATGCTGTTTGTTGATTTCAGGTTTTTAAAGCTTTTGTTAATAAATAATCAAAGAAATTCCACTTTGGTTTATTCTTTTTAAATGATTTCTGTCGTTATAACTGTGTGATTTCTGTCTCCTTCTTCACGTCGTTCTGTTTCCACTGAGCTGCAGGACGTTCGAACACTCACCTCCCAGAGCTCCGGATCGATCCAGGCTTCTTCTCTTCAGCGCCCGGGCCGTCACTATGAGGGGAACCAAGATGGAGAACAGCCATCGCCACGGCGACACCGGCTGCAGCGTTCCTGTAAAACACACCAACACGACGTTTTTGCCACCGAGCGCGTTCGTTCAGGAAACACTCGGAGCTGCACTTGTTTACACGTCGGACCGAAACGATTCACTGACGTCACGGGTTTCCATGAGAAGAAGAGTGATGGTCGTGGTTTTGAGGTTTGTGGATAACATCCCAGAAACCTCTACGTGATGTAAACAGTCATGTGGAAGAAGATCCTGCTGCACGTCTCAATGTGACAGAAACACAAACGTCTTCACGAATCTAAACCCGATTCTCCGTCTAGTCTGCCGTCTCACCGCTGCCATGAAGCTCCGAATCCGAAACAGGACGTTCAATGAAAAATGACTTTGTCAGCATCGACAGCGTTATGACTGGTGGATTGTGGGTGATGTAGGCAGGTAGGAAGAAGAACTCATTGATCCCAGTTTGTCTGAAACACATGAGCTCTCGTCGGAGGTCCTGAACCTCCTCAGAGTCTCTGTCATGGTCCCGTTGCTGCTAAACTCCCACAATGCTCTCTGCTGCCACCATCAGCTGTAGTCTGAGTGACGCCTCCTCTGGTCTCTACAGGATTAAACAGTGAGAGGCTCCACCTGGTGGAACAACCAGGTACTACAGCTGGTCTACCGTACGTTTACTGACATGATGTACAGAAGACCGGTTGTCTTTTGGAGTTCGTGGAGCCTCCGTACATCCTAACCTCTAACACTACATTTAGTCCTACTGGAGCTTCACAACAAGGTTTACGAACACGTACGTAACATTAAGGAACAACGTTGACGCAGAACATGCAGTTATTCTGAAGCACTTCAGATGTCTGTGAAGATTCTCAGTCATCCAGGTCGTGTTATTCTCGTAGATTAATCGTAGCAACTGGACTTGCTTGACTTCGTTAAAAGACCCTAACGAACCTCATTGTGGCAGGAGGAGCACTAACGACTCACATAACGAGGGGGAGGAGCAACAAACCCCAAACTGAAACTGAAACTCAGGTGTTAATGGCTCCTTAAGCATGTTAGTATCTGGAACTCCCAACTAGTCAGTCAGAGCTGATGAAGCCTCTTGGATGAAACGTCTTCAAGGAACTCAAGCAGGTCCAGTTGTTACGATTAAACTACGAGAATAAGCATCGCAGATGCTTTAAAGGATTGATCTGAACAACTTCAGTGTGAACTATCTCAGAAGATGGTATCAGATTGCAAATATTAAATGACTTCGATGACATCGAGAAGAAGAAACCTGATCAGGACAAATCACTGATGGAAGCATTTTGAACTCCTGTAACTTCTCTGCAACTTTACTTCTTTTCCTGATCCAGTCGTGACTCGATAATCCGACCCTGAACAATCCGAAATCCTTGCTATCTGACAGGCTTTTAGAAAATTTAGAGAATAGCCTCAACATACCGACAGCCTTGGATTCCGACTCCGATGTGACGTTTTATGTCACAGATGAGGATAACGGCGTATTATCTGACTGAACAATCCCACAGATTTACTGACCTTTGATGTCGACTGACGGCCCGTTGCACCGGTCAGTTAGGCTGAAATCCAGCGATGTGTAGCGTTCTAACAACACACTGGTTATTATAACAACTATGAACAATAAATATCAACAACAAATGAGCCTTCNTTCACATCAGTCTGTGTTTTCTTCTTATTTCTCGCATTCAATTAACAGAAACGTCCATAACGACTGATTAAATGAAGATTAACTCTGAGCCTCGGTCGGTTTGAAAAGCATTTTGTCTTTTTCTAAAATCACCAAAATAACACCATCTGTCAGGCGTAAAGTGTAAAATTAAACTTTTCCGTCAGTCTTTGAAGTAAATGTGTGTAACGTGTGGTTCTGCTGCGAAAATTCATCAAAACTAAGCACGAAATGACAACATTTCATTAAAATCACCGCCTTCCACGTGTCACTATTAAATATTCGCCAAAAATGAACCGTTTGCACGAGACTGATTCTGTAAAAAATAAAAAATGTTGCAGCTTTTAGTGCAGCTGATAAACCACGACAGACTTCAGAGAGTTTTCAGGTGAACTGCATCGATGCAGAAAGACACAGCGAACAGAGGAGACGCATCCAGCTCAGTGAAACATGTTTACAGCTGATGAGGAGGACGTTTGTGGCGGCTGTCACTATTTCTACATTATTTACAGCAGTAGCAGTAACGCCTGCAGGCACTTGTGTGATTGTGGCACATGTTGATTTTAGGTTTTTTCCATTTTTGTACAAACAATAGTCACAAAATTCTACTTTTTCTTTTTCTTTTCCTGATAGCTGATGACTTTATGATGGTTTCATGCTGCACAGAGACGTTTTCTGGGCCATTTTGTCTCACTCTTGCTTTAATAGTTTAACATCTGCAGGACTGAGAAGATGCTGTTTGTTGATTTCAGGTTTTTAAAGCTTTTGTTAATAAATAATCAAAGAAATTCCACTTTGGTTTATTCTTTTTAAATGATTTCTGTCGTTATAACTGTGTGATTTCTGTCTCCTTCTTCACGTCGTTCTGTTTCCACTGAGCTGCAGGACGTTCGAACACTCACCTCCCAGAGCTCCGGATCGATCCAGGCTTCTTCTCTTCAGCGCCCGGGCCGTCACTATGAGGGGAACCAAGATGGAGAACAGCCATCGCCACGGCGACACCGGCTGCAGCGTTCCTGTAAAACACACCAACACGACGTTTTTGCCACCGAGCGCGTTCGTTCAGGAAACACTCGGAGCTGCACTTGTTTACACGTCGGACCGAAACGATTCACTGACGTCACGGGTTTCCATGAGAAGAAGAGTGATGGTCGTGGTTTTGAGGTTTGTGGATAACATCCCAGAAACCTCTACGTGATGTAAACAGTCATGTGGAAGAAGATCCTGCTGCACGTCTCAATGTGACAGAAACACAAACGTCTTCACGAATCTAAACCCGATTCTCCGTCTAGTCTGCCGTCTCACCGCTGCCATGAAGCTCCGAATCCGAAACAGGACGTTCAATGAAAAATGTCTTTGTCAGTATCGACAGCGTTATTACTGGTGGATTGTGGGTGATGTAGGCAGGTAGGAAGAAGAACTCATTGATCCCAGTTTGTCTGAAACACATGAGCTCTCGTCGGAGGTCCTGAACCTCCTCAGAGTCTCTGTCATGGTCCCGTTGCTGCTAAACTCCCACAATGCTCTCTGCTGCCACCATCAGCTGTAGTCTGAGTGACGCCTCCTCTGGTCTCTACAGGATTAAACAGTGAGAGGCTCCACCTGGTGGAACAACCAGGTACTACAGCTGGTCTACCGTACGTTTACTGAAATGACGTAGAGAAGACCGGTTTTCTTTTGGAGTTCGTGGAGCCTCAGTACATCCTAACCTCTAACACTACATTTAGTCCTACTGGAGCTTCACAACAAGGTTTACGAACACGAACGTAACATTAAGGAACAACGTTGACGCAGAACATGCAGTTATTCTGAAGCACTTCAGATGTCTGAAGATTCTCAGTCATCCAGGTCGTGTTGTTCTCGTAGATTAATCGTAGCAACTGGACTTGTTTGACTTCGTTAAAAGAGCCAAACGAACCTCATTGTGGCAGGAGGAGCACTAACGACTCACATAACGAGGGGGAGGAGCAACAAACCCCCAATTGAAACTGAAACTCAGGTGTTAATGACTCCTTAAGGATGTTAGTATGTGGAACTCCCAACTAGTCAGTCAGAGCTGATGAAGCCTCTTGGATGAAACGTCTTCAAGGAACTCAAGCAGGTCCAGTTGTTACGATTAATATACGAGAATAATCATCGCAGATGCTTTAAAGGATTGATCTGAACAACTTTATTGTGCTTGAAGTGTGAACTATCTCAGAAGATGGTATCAGATTGCGAATATTAAATGACTTCGATGACATTGAGAAGAAACCTGATCAGGACAAATCACCGATGGAAGCATTTTGAACTCCTGTAACTTCTCTGCAACTTTACTTCTTTTCCTGTTACAGTCGTGACTCGATAATCCGACCCTGAACAATCTGAAAACTTTGCTATCTGACAGGCTTTTAGAAAATTTAGAAAATAGCCTTAACATGCCGACAGCCTTGGATTCCGACTCCGATGTGACATTTTATGTCACAGATAAGGATAACGGCGTATTATCTGACTGAACCACCCCACAGATTTACTGCCATTTGATGTGAACCGATGGCCTGTGCACAGTTGCACCGGTCAGTTAGGCTGAAATCCAGCGATGTGTAGCGTTCTAACAATGTATTGGTTATTATAACAACTATTCAACAATAAATATTAACAACAAATGAGCCTTCAAGCATCAAGCCCTCCTTGTATCTGGACCTCCGTCTTGACAATCCGACATGAAAGAAGGTTTTACTTTTAGTGTCGGATTATTGAGTCACGACTGGACTTTCAAATGATGTTTGTTCTTTATATACACGTGTTCTGCCTGCAATTATCAAATCATCCAAACACACCCTTTACAATGACGTCAACAACAGGTGAGCTGCTGTGATGCATCAGACTTGACAACAGAAGGTTCTTCCTCAGAGGAACCCTGAAGACTTTCCATAAAACCTGGAACTGTTTTACTCCAAACTGACTGTCAATGAAGAACAACAAATTTTTAAAAACTGAGGTAGAAAAACTGGATTTTTTTATCGAAGAAAGAAAGACATTTATGAAAACAAACTCCCAGGAGACGACGTCTGTCATCTCCCTCTGACTCCTCGACTGATCAAATACAACAGTCACAGTTTTTTAACATTTCGTAGAAGTCGAGCGCAGACCGAAATGCCTCGTAACCACCGTGACCGTCTGAAACTTCAAACGTTAAAACTGATGAGCTTTGATCCGTCCTGTGCCGTCTGAGCAACAGACGGACAAAGAGACGAGACAAGCACATGATGTGATGATTTGACCTCCCTGTTATATTATCTTAAGAGGCTTTGTGCAGTCGGTCACAGAACCACAGAGGAGCAGCTCCGGCTAAAATCAGCAGAGGAAAACTTGAGCGCTTCGCACGCGAGAACCAAACAAACTGACCGTAGAAGGAGTTGATGGCGAGAGAAAGGACCCAGAAGAAGAGGGAGAGCGCCAAAGTGACGCACAGCACGATCAGATCGGTCATCATCTTGATGGATTCCTTCATCAGCGCGTCGCCTTCAGAGTCCATGCTGACGAACAGCCCGAGCTGCAGGGAAACAGGACAGATCAGTAGATCAGTGGTGCTGCAGCAGAGACACATCATGGACATCACTGCTGCTGCCATGTTCAGACCCTGCTGCCATGTTCAGACCCTGCT